CACATTCGTAGAGAGACATTACCGGGCCCGTTGATGAGTGAGTCTGAGAAATGTATGGCCATACTATAATGGAAAGGTAGTTTCGTTTCTATACTCAGACTACTCAGGGATCGAGAAAGTAACGGTCATGAATAGGAGGATGACGTTCTCCATGCCTTATCCATGACCAAAATGTCGTGTGACAAAAGGGACGCGATATGGTTGTATGAAAGGTTGCATCGTTCAATGATCCTCATATGTTTTGGGTAGTCGTGATGTCTTGCTAGAGACCGCTTACGACTTGTGAGTCATTATAGTTAATGGCCCACTACCAACTTCATATGGGCCTACAGGGTCGCACACAAAATAGCCCAACACGAGTTATGATGTCCAGATTCATTGAATCTAAGATATGTCCAGATTCAATGAATAATATAGGGTGGACGTGTATATATATATATAAATTCGTGTATATATATATTATATAAATATAAGAGATATTAATTGTTAGATTTAATTTATAAGGATAAATTAAATATATATAAATTAATTCCGTCATCTCTTTATTAAATAAATAGGTGAATTAAATCTGTGAGACGGATTTAATTTAAACCATATTTATTTAATTGTTCTCTTATCTGATTAGGCAATATTTGATATTGTATTAATTTTGGAATTAATTTAGAGTTAATTTCGAAATTAAATATTATTCATTAAACCTATGGCATCCTATATATTTGATATGAGGAGCTAGGGTTTTAAGCGTGAGAGTACCAACAAATAATAGACGGCCTAAGAGAGATAAGAGTGGACGGATTCTCTGAAAACCCTAGACAGACAAAAGGGCGCTAGCAAGCCGTCTGTAATCGGAGAGCTATTCGTGTGGATACCGGTAGAGGAAGCCGACCGGAGTTGTCGACTTCGAACGATAAAGGAGGCGAGCAGAGGCATCCTGAACGGCGGAATCACCGAGCCACTCGGAAACCGAACACCGAAGGTAATACTTCTTACTACCTGACTTAAACACGATCGGTAGATCCGGGCAAGGGATTGAAAGTTATAAAATTTTTTAAGTTTTTCCGCTGCGCGTCGTCTTTCAATTCCCTTCAGATTAGTGTTGCTGTGATAATTATTATCCTAATGGGTGATAACAAGTATGTTGTCCCTGAGGTGGTTCCAGTAGTCACTAAGATTACTGAACACAAACTAACTTGAAAAAATTATATAGATTGGAGTAAGACTATTCGTATTTATTTTCGGAGCATTGAGAAGGAAGATCACTTGACTGACAATCCTCCTGATGAAAAGGATGCCTCTCGCAAGTCATGGTTAAGAGATGATGCACGGCTTCTGTTACAACTTCGTAACTCTATTGATAGTGAGATCATGCCTTCTATTACTCATTGTGAATTTGTTAAAGAACTAATGGATTATTTGGCACTCTTATACTCAGGAAAGAACAACATCTCTCGTATTTACGAGGTCTGCAGATCGTTCTATCGGTCCGAGATGCTAGTTGACCGTTCCCTCACAAATTTCTTTATGGATTTTAAAAGCACCTATGAAGAGCTCAATGTTCTTATGCCTATTTCTGATGATAGGAAAGTTAATGTGTCTCACTGCGAGCAGATGGCCACCATGAGTTTTCTGACTGCACTGCCATCCCAATATGCGGCTGCTCGATCACAAATTTTGTCGGGAGCTAACATCCCCTCTCTTGAAGAAGCTTTCTCTCGTGTACTGAGAATTGAACAAAACCCTTCCTCAGCTCCCATTCCACCTACTAGTGCATTACTCAGTCGAGGCCAGAATGACAATCGAGGGCTCCCTAGTCGTAGTGGTCCGAAACCAGGAGGTGGTAATCAGGAGCCCAAGGAAGTGATATGTTACTACTGCAAGGAACCGGGACATACTAAACGCACATGTCGTAAGCTGCAAAACAAACAACAACGACAGAGCTCTGCCCATGTGGCCACAACAACCAGTGACATGGTTACTATCTCAGCTGCGAGTATGCTCAATTGAAATTTGCAAATCCCCCCGTGAGCACTGCTAGTGCAACAGGTAATGAGGCTACTACCCTTGTCTCTTCTTCCTCCAAATGGATCATAGACTCTGGTGCTACTGACCACATGATAGGTAACCGTCATCTCTTCTCTAGCTATAATTCTTATGCCAACCCTTCTGTTATCACAATTGCGGATGGTTCCCACTCTCGTGTCCTTGGATCTGGCACTGTTAAACCTACTCCTTCTATTTATTTAAAATATGTACTCAATGTCCCGAATCTTGCTTTTAACCTTTTGTCCCCTAGCAAGCTTACTCGCCAATTAAATTGTTGGGTCTCACTTTTTCCTGACCATTGCTTGATACAGGATCTTTTGATGAAGAAGATTATTGGTAGGGGCTACGAATCTGGTGGGCATTACTTCCTTGGTGATCAGGGGTCTTGTGCGGTGGCTTGTACTAGTGGTGTCACTCCATTTGAAGCACATTGTCGTTTGGGTCATTTATCTTTATCCTCTTTAAAAAAGGTTTATCCTCAATTTCAGCATTTGTCGTCTTTAGATTGTGAGTCGTGTCAGTTTGCTAAACATCATCGTCTACCGTTAGTGTCTAGAGTCAATAAACGGGCTTCGTCCCCTTTTGAGTTAGTGCACTCCGATATTTGGGGTCCGTGTCCAGTTGAGTCCAAAGGTGGTTTTAAATATTTTGTCACATTTGTTGATGATTATTCCCATACCACTTGGTTATATTTAATTAAAAATCGTTCTGAGCTTTTCTCTCACTTTTGTACTTTTGTTGCCGAAATTAAAACTCAATTCAATACGCTTGTCCACACCTTGCACAGTGATAATGCTAAAGAATATTTTTCTGAATCCTTTCGCTCTTTTATGCTTCAACATGACATTCTTCATCAATCTTCCTGTGTGGATACACTGGCTCAGAATGGTGTGGCCGAAAGAAAAAATTGTCACTTATTAAAAGTGGCCCGTGCACTTTTATTTCAAATGCAGGTTCCAAAACCATTCTGGGCAGATGCGGTCTCCACAGCTTGTTTTCTTATTAATCGCATGCCCTCCTCTGTCCTTGATGGTAACATTCCCTACACCACTCTCTTTCCTTCCAAAGCTTTGTTCCCTATTGATCCTAAGATCTTTGGCTGTGTTTGTTTTGTTCGAGATGTGCGTCCCACGGTCTCCAAATTAGACCCTAAGTCTCTTAAATGTGTCTTTCTTGGCTACTCTCGAGTTCAAAAGGGTTATCGATGTTTTTCTCCTACTTTGAATCATTATCTAGTTTCAGCCGATGTCACTTTTCAGGAATCTGTTGCCTACTTTGCATCTAATGCTTCCGCTTCACCTTCTCCACCGGCAGAGAGGATACCTTTCTGGTATATTCTGTTAGTCCAAGCTTACCACCAGCACCAGCTCCCGTATTGGCACCTGGTCAACCACCTTTGTCTTAGGTCTACACTAGACATTTGAAGGAAACTACTCCTACTGTTGCGCCACATTCTGCTCCACCATTATCTGCTTCGTCATCTGATCCTGCAGCAAGCATCATGCACCCTGAGCCTGACCCTGCTCCAGGTCTAGATGTCGATCCCTCAATTAACTCTGAGACACCTCCTGTTCCAGATCCAAATCCCTCCCTTGATTTGCCCATTGCCCTTCGTAAAGATAAACGTACTTGTGCCCATCCTATTTCTTCTTTTGTTTCATATAACCACCTTCCTTCTGTTTCTCTTGCCTTTGTTGCCTCTTTAGATACTATTTCAGTACGTAAGTCCCTTCATGAAGCCTTATCCCACCCGGGTTGGCGTACTGCTATGGAAGAAGAGATGGCGGCCCTTCATTGTGCTGGCACATGGACCTTAGTAGATTTACCAGCAGGAAAGAAAGTTATTGGGTGTAAGTGGGTGTTGAGCCCTAAAGTTAAGGCGGATGGTACACTTGAACGCCTCAAGGCTCGCCTTGTCGCAAAAGGCTATGCTCAAAAGTATGGTATTGACTACTTTGAGACTTTTTCTCTTGTGGCCAAGCTCTCTTCTGTTCATCTGTTTATCTCCATGGCCGCTACCTATAGTTGGGATCTCCATTAATTAGATATAAAAAATGCATTCTTGAACGGTGATCTCCTTGAAGAAGTGTATATGGAGCAACTACCAGGTTTTGTTGCTCAGGGGGAGCGTGGGAAGGTGTGTCGCCTTAAGAAATCACTCTATGGCTTAAAACAAAGTCCTTGGGCATGGTTTGACAGATTTAGTACTATTGTGAAGAACTTTGGCCTGCACCAGAGTAAGTGTGATCATTCTGTGTTCTATCAGCAAACAAGTGCTGGCATGATCCTACTGGTTGTGTATGTCGATGACATTGTGATTACAGGAAACAATGCCTCGGGGATATCATCTCTCAAGTCGTTCCTTAACTCATATTTCCAAACGAAGGATCTGGGTTCATTGAAGTATTTTCTGGGAATTAAAGTCATGAGGAGCAAGAAAGGCATCTTATTGACTCAGAGAAAGTATGTTCTTGATCTGCTGAAAGAAACTAGGAAACTAGGGGCTGCCTCGACCAGCTTCCCTATGGTCTATAATCCTCTACTTGATGCTGATGGTAGCATACCATGTGAAAATCCTGATGAGGCTGCTAAGAGCAAGCCATTTGAAAATCCAGAGAGGTATAGGAGACTAATTGGGAAGTTGAATTACCCTACAGTGACCCATCCTGATATCACCTATCCAGTAAGTGTCCTTAGCCAATTTATGGTTGCGCCAACTGTCCGACAATGGGAAGCCTTAGAGCATTGTTACACTACTTGAAGGGATCCTCGGGTCGTGGGATATTGTACAAGAATCATGGTCACACAGACATTGAGTGCTTTTGTGATGCTGATCATGGTGGGTCGAAAGCCACGAGACGATCTACTACAGGATACTGTGTTTTTGTAGGAGGCAACTTGGTGTCCTGGAAAAGCAAGAAACAGAATGTGGTGTCACAATCAAGTGCAAAAGCGGAATACAGAGCCATGGCGCAATCTGTATGTGAGATAGTTTGGATATACCAGCTACTAAAAGAGGTTGGTCTTAAAATCTCGTTACCAGCAAAGTTGTGGTGTGATAATAAAGCAGCCCTACACATAGCTTCGAATTCGGTCTTTCATGAACGAACGAAACATATTGAGATTGACTGTCATTTCATCTGAGACAAGCTCAAGGAAAACTTCATCTCTACAGGACATGTCAGATCCAGCGACCAGTTGGGTGATCTTCTCACCAAAGCTCTCAATGGGGTTCGAGTTGAATATCTTTGTAACAAGTTGGGCATGATTGACATCTATGCTCCAACTTGAGGGGGAGTATAGAGATATTATAGGAGAAATTATAAGATATGTAAATATCCTGTAATTAGTATATAGGATACGATATGATATGATTTCATAGTAATGAGCTATTAATACCTAGGCTCCTCTATTGTATATAAATACCCAATTGAAGTATCAATAAAATACACAATTTTCATTCTCTAAATTACAGCTACCAACCATTAGGGTTATTTGCTCAACCTTTGCCATTCATCTTTCTCAATATACCATGATCCTAAATGCATCAACACATCATTTTCATTCATTCATTAGAGTTATGGTAATCAATAACATCAACACTTTGTTTTCTGAGTTTATTGACTTCTAACTTTTGAGCTTGATTTCCAACCTTTCTAAAATTAATTCTACATGCTATTCCCACACAATTTTGCATGTAGAATCCATTTCCAAGCTCAAGTAATCAAAATCAAACTCCTTCCCCATGAACTAGCCTTGACTGAAATACGACTCAAGTTACATAGTCATGAAATTTAACCAATTTCAACATAAAGCCACTTGATTCTTATTCCTTTCAAACCTTTAGCTTTAAACATTATTCTAACATTAATTTCATCTTCTCCTATTCTTAAGAATTTTGTGCAGCATGTCCCCTTAGAGTTTCAAGCTCCCAAAAATCCATAACCAATCTCAACAACAAGAGTAGTAAAAACTACATTAAAAACCGTGAACATACCTTGTTTTGGAGCTTGATCTTGCATGGAGTCACTTGGCCTTTCTCCCTTCTTCTTCTTTCTCTCTCTAGAATCCATTTTAAAAGAGTTTCCTTATGGTTCCATGAGCTTACACGAAAATGAGGGGTGGGAAGGGAGCATTTATAGAAAATAAGACTGAATCTGGACCGTTGATCTTAAAAATATGTGGCTTGATCTGGACTGTCCATTTTCTCTTTTTATCTTGTGATGACATGTGTCCTATGACATCATGCTTACATCATATTGATGACATCATGCTTACATCATCAAGCCACATGCTTTTAATCCAACTGTACATGTGTCTTGCATCCGACCGTCTACGTGTCTTCCATCCGACCGTACACGTGTCTTGCATCCAGATGTACACGTAATACGTTCTTTTCCTATCTAATTGTACACTTGTCTTTTCTATATTCCTTCATCATTTTGGCATTAAAATAGGGGGAAATTAATATAAAATTGGTGCAAAATACAACCCTTAGGCATTCCTTCACCTATCTTGCCATTCTGCACCGTATAGGGTACTTTTTGGGGTCTTGACTTTTTCGAGACCATTGGGACATGTTATGACACCATTTTCTCACCTTAAATAAATCCACATGGCATTATATAACATGCCCAAAGAGAGAGTGATGCTCTTCCCTTGTTCTTCCATTAAAATAATTAAAATAAATAATAATATTTATTTCGGAGTGAACTTGATTGAATTCTTTCTACCGGTCTGTGACTCTGAGAATCTATCTCCAGGTACGAGTACTATTTATTCAACACGGGGAATTCCTCTAATTTTTCTTAAGTCAAAAGTCAACCTCTTGACCTTTGACTTTAACTTTTCTCGGATAGTATATAAATAGGTTTTAAATTATACTAAAGCCAACATCTTCGCTTTCTGGGGACGGAATTATTTTTAAAACCTGTGATAACTCCTCAAGTATTTTTTTTCCATTTTGTCTGATTATCTGAGGCCTCTCTATACTTTAAATAATTCATTTTTGAAAATATTCCAAATTAGTCAAAATCTTGGAAATTCCACAATTTCCTTCCAAGGGCATTTTCGTTATTTTTAGCCTCATATAGGCCTCTAAACCTTATTCCTATTTTTTTAAAATTTTTCTGAAGTGTTCAAGCCTTAACCTACCATTTCCCATTTTCTGGGATTTTTCTGGGATTTTTGGGCATCATTTCTATTTTTGCCCTTACCAGCTCAAAACTTTACAAAATTATGATTTTACCCCTGGTTTGGCTTAACCTCAAAATTCACCTCATTGAGGCCTTCAACATAACTTTTGGCCTACATTTATCCGTATTTCTCATTCTTGAGCCTCGGGACTTCATTAGAGTATCTAACTTTCTCTTTTTTCAATCCCAGAAAACTTTCCCTTTGAGATTTAGTCCCTAGGAATCCCTCTGTCCTTCTAGGAAATCTCAAGGACCTCTGTTAAAAAGGGTTTGGTAGCTTACCCATTTCAGGATAATTATGGTACTTTTAGACCCAAAATTCAGGATGTGACAATCTCCCCCTCTCAAAAGAAATTTTGTCCTCGAAATTTCCGGGTCAAACCTCTATTCTTAACGTTAATGAGAGGTTAACTGAGGAGAACATCTTCATTTATACTCAACTTTGGCCTCTTTATCCTTACATTATACCTCATTGCCAGGTTTCAATCCTGGAATTCATCCTTACATAGCTTTCTGTTCACTATTTTCCTGTCAATTATACGGGCATGGCTTTTGCTTTTACGTATCTTATCATCACTGATCGTATTCTTCTTATACTTTAGGCCTACTCTTTCATGATAATGCCATGACAGTGTATCTATCTTCATGATATTTTACTATACCATGGCATTTTAAGTTCCTTTAACACTGCCTTTATTAGGTCTTTTCGGCATATTTTGTCATTCTCATCTTTACTTAAGGGCCTATCTTCTTTCTTTCACATTCTTATTTCACATATAGCTTGCCTGAATACATAACCTTTAGGACTTACAGCCTGTGGTTCTCTTAATTCTTACTTTCCTCACTTTCTTTTGTTGACTAGAACAGAATTAAACTCGACCTATTCAACAATAATAGTGTCTGTGGAAAAGTTAAGGGTACTCTCTCTGTACTAAGTAACCAACCTGAGGAGGTTTTCTCATCTTAGACTCATCCCCGGTCATCTCATTCTCACGCTCTAAAGAGATACCACCCTTCTGGCTCAATAACCTTCTTCTAGGCTTAGTCTACTGTGACCTTAAGAGCTACCGCGCTCTCCCGTAAGCCTCTTCAGGATCTACTATGACCCTAGATTTTTTGTCCATTCTGCCTGAGCCATATCCACTCTTTAGGAGCCTTTAGACCAGTGGACTGAGTCAAGGAATAAGTCACCTACCCTCAACTGGTAACTTGACTGATTATTCCCTAAGACTGATCACAAATGTTAGTATTGTCTTCTTAGGCCTTACTCAATCCTTTCTGTCAACTCTAAAATCATTCATCTTTCCTGCCTTTCCTTTTCTCTTACTTTTAGCTACCTCAGGCTATTTTTCTTTTATTTATGCTCTTTTAATTCTCCAGGCCATTGGCTCACAACCATGGCCTTTTAGGCTTGTCATCGTATCCATGTTAGTCTGCCATATCTTATGATTTACTTTCTCATCTTACAGGGAGAAGTCTTGAAAAATCATCTCTATCATCTTTTTAGGTATTCCATCCTTTCATTGCTCTTGGCCAACTTTGCTCTCATTGGGGTAAAGTTAACTTCGTGAGCCTTTCCCCGGCTACTGTTATTCTTGCCGTGGAAAGACGTGTTGCTCACAGCAGAGCATGTATACTCAACCACTTTCCCTACCTTGATGGAGGACATAACACTTTTACAGGGACGACGTCAACTCTACTGCTTCGAGAGGACACGCTGTTACCTTCATAACATTGTCAACCCCATCATAACCATTTCCTTCCCTTCCCTTCAAAGAATAGCTCACTCCTAATAGAGCGGTGTCCACTCTGCGTCAAAGAACCACCTCCCAATTTGAGAGACATTCTATGGCCAAGACTTGTCGGTTACTTAATCTCTGTCCCAACACATTCTTGCATGTCAAATCCTTATTAGGGGAGCCTTTCGACCTGACTCATTTGATTACTATGGTAGTGGCATCTGTCTATAGGAATCTCACCTCTTAAATTCATTACTGGCCTGAGTGCTATGGTCACACTTCTCATTAATGCCTTAGGGATACAAAGGAATACTCACTAGTCCCCTTACGGTATATCTAAGCATCATCAGGCTCTAGGCATTATTGGGAACTTATTTATCTCTTTCTATGTATCAGTTTCCAGTGTAACCATCAACTATCACATTCCCATCTATTTTCATTCAACTCTATCCTCAAGAGCAATCTTGCTTAGCTCTATTCTTTCTAACTTTCTTTACTTTCTGACCAATCATTCCTATGGTCAGGTATTGATCATCATATACTGATCACATCACACAACGAATATTCAATCACCTTGCTGCGTGGCGTCTAGGCCAAGCACCTAACTCATCATCGATTATTTATTCAATATTATCTTATCTCTATCCCTCTTGGTCTACTATCCCTTAAGAGTTTCTACCTCTATTCAGGGATTTGAACAAATCTCAAGCATCTTATCCTGTTATCTTGCCTCTATCGAGGTCACATTGATTACTTAAGGTTTAGGTTGCTACTTGTTTCCCCTACTAGAGCACTGACTCATACCCCTAATTGGCTTATTGTACTCTTAGCCACTATCCTCTAGGGGAGTCCTTTGAATTTGACTCAAACCCCGGTCAAGCTTTCTCAGCTCAACCATTCCTTTTCTGAGGGGGAGCCCCTTAGCAATGACTACCTATCTCTTAGGTTACATTTTATCATTCCTTACTTCTCCTCTATGTCCATTTCCCTTAGAGAATCACCTCAATCTCATAACCTTAGTTGGACTAATCCTGATAACCCATCACTTTCCTTGATAGAGATTTCACCCATACTAGGCTTTGGTTGAACCAGTGCTCCGTTTATACCTTTGTCAGAGCTTTTACCAGATCTTTTGTTCCATTTAAACAATTACCAGAACCAGGTTCTGATAACAAAATAAAACATCTTTTCTTTAACCCCTCAGAGTACGTGCTTGGAAGCATTACGGTTTAAGCGATTCACGAAACAAGCCCATGGATTGAAAATTTACAGTTTGGTTCTCAGGTTACTATTCATTGTTTAAATTTCATATTACACGTCTAACTTAAAAAATCATAACCAATTCTATAAAATCCATATTAAGGTGCTCCAAAATTCTACTTGAAGCCTCTTTCAATTCTCTATAGGAAAACATTATGAAACTGGACTTATCCTTGCCCAATTTGTACAATTTATTCCTTAAACTTTACT